TCTGTGTTCCAAACGCCACCACGAAGAGCGATGCACAACCACAGTGGCGAAACTTGCCGCAGGCAACTGGTCACATTTGGTGCGAATATCATTGTCATCCTCGTCATTGCGGTTGTCACTATATTGTCCTAGTTTTTTTTTCGCATCCTGGGAGAGCCCTGTATTGGTGTAGCCTTGCCTTCTGGCGAAGCCCTACACACCGCCACGCTGGTCCCAGGCAGGCTGCCCTGCCCGGCGAAGGATGAAGAGGAGGGGAGAAGCAGGCAGCCCACGACAAACTCGCAGGCGGAAGGCCAGGGCCGGCGGGGCGGGCGGGCAGGCGGAAATGGGGGCGGGCGGAGACAGCAGGCAGGCAGGAAGGAGGAGGAAAGGGAAGGGGGCTAGGAAAAGGAGGAGGAGACGGGAAGCCACCGCAAGCAGACAGGCCGGGCCAAGGGTCAGGAGAGAAGAGCCCACCGTGACGAGGCCATGGACCCTTCGGCGGCGACACCGACCAGACGGCGCAGCCGTACCGGTGGGGTGGGCGGTGCGCGTTTTGGGGGGGATAGTTCGTGGTAGGACTGGAAGGGCCATCAGGAGTGGTTGGGGGGCGGCGCGGGGTGGCCGACCGAGCCCAGCACGCTGCGGCGTGTCGGGGTGAGCCCTCTGCGGCATCACCCAACGCCCCGTCGCGAAACGGCAGGACAACGAGAGCGAAGGGGGGGGGAGCCACAAACGCGACGCTGGCGGAAGGGCGCAGGGGGCGCCCGCGCTGCCCGGCAAGAGCGGGGGGCGGGAGCGGAGGGCCCCAAGCAGCGCCAGGGGCGCCTCACACGGCATCCGCCGTGGAAGCAGCCGTGGCCGTGGCCAGCCGGGCCGCTGCCACCCCCACCCGTCTGGACTGCGTCCAGAGGTGCCCAAACACCGCCCGCGCGTTCTCCCTGCTCGGGGAAACAGAAATTTGCTGGGCGCGCTGGTCCGCAACCAACGCGGCTTCTTCCCACGTGGCGTCACGCACCCGTGTGGCTAAGACCCCGAAGGCCCCGCGTGCCTCGCGACCCCACCCGCCGCCGCTCGTTTCCACCACCATGGGGAGGAAGATGAAGCCCTGTGCCGCACGAAGCCGCGCTGAGTTCTGGCGCTGCCTGTTGAGCTCCTCGTACCGCTCCGTCGCCGCGTCGCGCTCGATCAAGCGACTGGCGCCACCGTGGCAGGTAGACGTCGGCAGGGCGGCCGCCATTGTCGTCCACCAGGGACCCGCCCTGCTCGCCACCCTGGGGTGTCCTCCATGACGGGCCGCGGGGGTAGCAGCCCCGGGCGCAGCGTGGTAAGCGGCCAGGGCGTCGAAGAAAGCCTGGTTGCACAGGGCGTTGCGGCTTTCAGTCCAGTCGCCGCTGAAGGCGCACAAGAAGGCGTCCAATGATCCTGATCACAGACACCCAGAGCCTCATTTTCAGCCAGCCTCAGCCTCATCACCACCACCACCACCATCCCCATCACCACCACCGCCACCACTACCTCGTTATTAGTATTAGTAGTAGTACTAATATTAGTATTATTAGTAGTATTAGTATTGGTATTGGTATTAATACTAGTATCAGTATTAGTATTAGTATTAGTATTAGTATTAGTAGTAGTAGTAGTAGTAGTAGTAGTAGTAGTAATCGTATTCGTATTAGTATTAGTATTAGTATGAAGTATTAGTATGAATATTAGTATTAGTATTAGTATTAGTAGTAGTATTAGTATTAGTATTAGTATTAGTATTAGTATTAGTATTAGTATTAGTATTAGTATTAGTATTAGTATTAGTATTAGTATTAGTATTAGTATTAGTATTAGTATTAGTATTAGTAGTAGTATTAGTATTAGTAAAAGCATTAGCATTAGCATTAGTAGTAATATTAATAATAGTATTGGTATTACTATTAGTATTAGTATTAGTGTTAGTATTAGTATTAGTATTGGTACTGGTATTACTATTCGTATTAGTATTAGTATTAGTATTAATAGTAGTCTTAGTATTAGTATTAGTATTAGTATTAGTATTAATATTAGTATTAGTATTAGTATTAGTATTAAGTATTAGTATGAGTATGAGTATCAGTATGAGTATCAGTATGAGTATCAGTATGAGTATCAGTATGAGTATTAGTATGAGAAATAGTACTAGCATTAGTATTAGTACTAGTATTAGTATTAGTATTAGCATTAGTAGTAGTATTAGTATTAATATGAGTATTAGTATTAGTATTAGTACTAGTACTAGTATTACTATTGATATTGGTATTAGTATGAGTATTAATATTTATACATGTATTACTATTAGTATTAGTATTAGTATTAGTATTAGTATTAGTATTAGTATTAGTATTATTATAGTATTAGTATTAGTATTAGTATTAGTATTAGTATTAGTATAAATATTAGTATTAGTATTAGTACTAGTATCAGTATGCATATTAATATTAGTATTAGTATTAGTATTAGTATTGATAGTAATAGTATTAGTAGTAGTAGTATTAGTATCAGTATTAGTATTAGTATTAGTATTAGTATTAGTATTTGTATTAGTATTAGTATTAGTATTAGTGTTTAGAAATTAGTAATTAGTATTAGTAGTTAGTATTAGTATTAGTTTTAGTATTAGCATTAGTATTAGTATGGATACTAATATTCGGATTAGTCTTAGTATGAGTATGACTATGACTATGAGTATGAGTATGAGCATGAGCATGAGTAAGGAGTTTAGTATTAGTATCACTATCAGTATCAGTATTAATATTAGTATGTGTACTAGGAGTAGTATTAGTATTAGTATTAGTATTAGTTTTAGTATTAGTATTAGTATTAGTATTAGTATTAGTATTAGTATTAGTATTAGTATTAGTATTAGTATTATAATAAGTAGTAGTATAAGTAGTATTAGTATTAGCATTTGTATGTGTATTAGTAGTGGTAGTAAAAGTATTAGTATTCGAATTCGTATTAGTAGTAGTATTAGTATTAGTATTAGTATTAGTATTAATATTAGTATTAATATTAGTATTAGTATTAGTATTAGTATTAGTAATAGTATTAGTATTAGCATTAGTTTTAGTATTAGTATTACTATCAGTGTTAGTACTAGTATTAGTATTAGTACTAGTATTATTATTAGTAGTATTGTTGATATTTTAACTAATACTATTATTGTTATTAATACTCTTCATCAGCATCACCATCATCATGATCAGCATGATCATCATCATCAACATCATAATCAGCAGCAGCATCAGCATCATCACCATCATCAGCATCATCAGCATCATCATCATCAGCAGCAGAATAATCATCATTAACAGCAGTATCATCATCATGGGCGTCATCCTTATCTTCGTCATCATCATCCCCATAGCACCCACAGTATCATCATGATAATCATCATCATCATCACCATCATCAGCAGCATCATCTGTATCAGCATCATCAGTATCGTCATCATTATCATCATCAGCATCATCAGCATCATCAGCAGCATCATCATCATAATATGCAACAGCAGCCGCATCAACATCATCATCATCGTAATCATCACCAGCAGCAGCATCATCATCATCAGCAGCAGCAGCATCCTCATCATCATCAGCACCATCAGCATGAATTATCATCATCAGCATCATCATCACCATCAACATCACCATCATCATCAGCATCGGCACCATCACCATGATCATCACCAACATCACCATTATCGTCATCAGCAGCATCAGCATCAGAATCATCACCATCATCAACATCATCAGCATCATCCCCGTGGCATCATCATCAGCAGCACCAGCATCAGAACCATCATCATCATAACTATCAACAACAACAGCACCATCACCATCATCCTAATCAACATCATCATCAGCAGCAGCATGAGCATCAGCATCATCATCACCAGCATCGGCATCATCATCATCATCATCATCATCATCATCATCATCATCATCATCATCATGGGATTATTATCAGCATCATCCCTAACATCCTTATGAACACCACCATCATCAACAACGTCGTCATCATCATCAGCATCAGCATCATCATCATGATCACCATCAGCAGCAGCATCGTCTTGTTCATTATCATCATCGTCGTCATCAGCATCATCAGCATTATCATCACCATCATGATAATCATACTCATCTTCAGTATCATCATCACAATCACCATCATCATCATCACCATCACCACCACCATCACCACCAGTATGCTCTTTATATGATTCATGGTCATCGTCATCAGCATCATCAGCATTATCATCACCATCACGATCATCATACTCATCATCGTCATCATCATCAGCAGCAGCATCTTCATCAGCATCATCAGCATCGTCATCGTCATCAGCTTCATCGGCATCATCATAATCAGTACCCATCACTATCAGAATTCAGCGTCATTCCTAAGCATTGCCGATGTCATCAGCATCATCATCATAATCAGCAGCAGCAACATCAACATTATCATCGTTAATATCATTATCATCATCATCAGCATCATCATCAGCCACATCAGCATCGTCGTCATCATCATCATCATCATCATCATCATCATCATCATCAAAATCATCATCAGCATCATCATCGTCAACATCATCAAAGTCAGAATCATCCCTACCGTCATGCGATGCCCTCCTACACCTTCTCATCATCCATTCCCTCATCCTCCTCATCATCCCCCTCCTAATCATAAGCAGTATCATCAACATCATCATCATCACCCTCGTCATCAGCACCCTCATCATCATCACCATCATCATCACCATCATCATCATCACCATGGTCATCCTCTTCCTCTGCATGATTAAAGGATCCACCATCCTCCTATCCCGCTCCGTCACATCCCATCACCTCTCGTCCTCCTCACTCTCCTACTCTCGAGTACTGGCACGCACCCCTGCGTCCCCTGCACCCTCCTCCTTCCAGCGCCTCCCACTGCTGCGGGCAGGGTGGGCGCGCTCGGCGGGGGGGCAATAGGCTGGCGGCTGACGCCTTGCTTGGGTAATTGCAGCCCACACACAAGGCCTTCTTTACCATCACGGGAAGAGGGGGGAAAGAGCGGGGGATGAAGGAGGACCAGGGGGCAAGAGCGAGGAGAGGAAACGAGAGGAGCAGAGAACAGGAGAAGAGTGGAGCAATGGAGGGAGCAGGGGAAGGAGGAGAATGGTAGGGAAGGAAGGAAAGGGAAGAAGTGATAGGGGGCGGGACGAAGTAGGATGAAGGGCCGGCGAGGAGGCAGGTGGGAGGAAAGAGAGCGGCGCAGGGGACGAAGAAGAAGGGAAGAATGAACGAGGAGGGAAGAGAAAGGGGGAAGGTGAGGGGGAGATAGGAGGGAGGACGGAGGCGGAAGAAAAACGGAGGGAAATATACGGAGAGGACAAAGGGAGGAGAGAGGGTGGAGCGGTGGAGCGACCGAGGAAGGAAGGAGGGGGAGGGGGAGGAGGGGAGATGGGCACGCGCCGGCTGCCTGGAAAGGATTTGAGCCACACCAGATCGGGCTTCCCTGACTGCTGTTCGTTCCTTTTCTTCTTGCTCCGTTTCCTCCTCTTCCTCCTACTACTCCACCTCCTCCTCATGTTTCCTTCTCCTCCTCCTCCTCCTCCTCCACCTGCTCCTCCTTTCCTCCCTCCCTTCCTCGTCCTACCGTGGAGGCTCCACCGTGGGATTGCCAAGAGGAGGCTGCGAGTGTCGAGTCCAACATCGTCTTGACCAAAGGGCTCACGTTTGCAGCTGGTGCGACTCTCAGGGAGCATGTGACGCAGCTCTCGCTGATAAACGGGATCTTCTTAACATTTATAATCGGCCCACAAAGTTCATCAACAGCGACCGTAACAAATCAACGCGTAGCCTGCCATCATATATTAAGGCGCGCGGGCAAATCGGTGCCCGTACTTTTTCTTCTTAACTTCACTCGTCCTCTCAAATACCGAATAAGGAATCCATGCGGAGGAACCTTTAGTAAGAAGTCTGGAATGAGAAATCCTTAATCGGGAACCCTTAGTAAGGCTTTCTTACGAAGAAACCCTTACTCAGGAATCCGTGATGGTAAATCCGTATTACGAGACCCTTCGTAAGGAATCCGTATTCTGTAACCCCAAACAAGGAATATCCTTCGGAAAAGAACATATCACAGAACTGAACCTTACAAAAGAACCCTCCTTAAGTTGTCATTACCCGGGAATCCTCCATAATGCACAGCAAGTTGTCCTTAATAGGGAATATTGAATAAAAGAACCCTCTGTTAGGAATCCTGCACACCGAACCGTTGTATAGGGAACCCTTACTGATGATTCAGTAGCCACGTCTTCTTATGAAGGAACCCTTAGTAGCGAACCTTTCGTAAGGAGTTCTCATCAGAAGTCCTGAATGGAAATCCTTCGTAAGGAACCCTCAATCAGGACCCAGACTAATGAATGCGCAGTAAAGAATCCCGAAAAAAAAGAATCCTGCATAAAAAACCTGCAATACAAATCCCTTGTTGAAGAATATTTGATATGGAACCCTGACTCAGGTTTCCTGGCTTGGGATACCTTAAAAGTCATTGATCGTCAATCCTGACTACCCTTTAATCCGGAAACCTTACAAAGGAATATGGATGAAGGAATATTGTATAAGGGGCCCTTAACAAGAATCCCTTACTGAGGCGCTATTTCCAAAGGATCCTGTGTAAGGTGTCCGTAAGAAGGTATGATGTGTCTGGCATTCTTATGAAAAAACTCTTTTTGTTGGGTCCCCCCGTAAAGAATCCTTCACATCGGATCCTGGGGACCCTGACTAATGATTCCTTCGCCGCTCCTCCCTTTCATGAACGTCTTAAGTGAGAATTATCGACAAGAAATCTTTCAGGAGGGGTCATGAATGCGAAACCCGCCGGAAGGAACCAGCAACAAGGAAGTCTCCATAAGGATCCCTTCGACAAAGAAATCTTTAGCAATGAATCCTCAGGGACCAATCCTTTCGCCTGAAACCTTCAGGTTGACTTACAAACGAAGCCTTACTAAAGAATCCTTGATGGCGAATCCAGACTGAGGAGCCCTTAGGAAGGAACCCGTAGTGAGGAACCCCCAATGAGGAATCCTACGCAAGGGATCCTTCCCAAGGGGTCCTCAGCGAGGATTCCCGCGCCATGAAACCTTCGTCCAGGGTCCATGAGATAGACACCTGGAAGAGAAATCCTCTACGGGGCGCGCAAAAGGCAGCGCAAGAGAAACCAATCAAGAAACCAGAAGGACGAATGAGGCGCGCAAGAGGCACTCGGAGACGGAAACCAAGAACACATATTACCAGCTTTGTGCGTTCAGGAATTATACACTGATGTATATTTGTATCCAAATATATCTATATACGTTGTTTGTTTCTCAGATTGTTGGACTCATACATGCATATATATATAGACGGCTGTATGATTATACGTATGCATATGTAAAAAATCGTAACACGTACGTCTGTGCTTACGTATATGTAGATGCGAATGCGAATGTGTGTATGACATTGTATATGTAGTTATATGTGTGGAGATGCATATGCACGCGTATTCGGCTGCGGATACCTATGTGTTTACGTATACGTACATGTACGTGTATGTGCTGCTCCGTATGTGCTGTTGTATGTTTGTGTGAATACGCAGATGCATCTGATATATGCATGGTTGATGTATATGTATATACTATGTCTACGTGTATGTGTACGAACATACGTATGTGCATGTGTGTGAATGTATATGTGCATGCCCATGTATATGTCCATGTCGGCTGATGCATATGTATATGCTTGTGGAACTGCCGACGTGAATGTCCATGTGACTGTATTTGTATATGTGTGTGCGTATGTGTAATTGCCCATGTCAAAGTCCATGTGTATGTATGTGTGGCTGTGCACGCATACATATATGATATGAAAACGTAGGTGTATTAGCACAAATGGATGTATATGTATGTGTGGCTGGAAAACACATATATGTAAATATGTATGACTATGTGTATGTGTGCACAAGTGTATGTGCATGTGCTGATATGTATATATGTATGTGTGCGTGTATATATGTATGCGTACTCGTATCCGACTACGGACATGTTCTCATATATGTGCATGTATATGTATGTGCATGTTATTATACAGAACATATACAGATGGTTATGTATGTGTGTACGGACATGCATCTTAATGACTAGGGTGCTATGTATGTTTGGCTATGCAGATGTGCGTAAAGGGTACTTGAACCCGTGGAACCATTTGTACTTATATGTATAGATATATATATATATGTGTTGGTAGAAGCGTATGCGTATATGTGTTTGCATGTATGCGTATGTGTACATTTGTATGCGTTTGTAGCTGTATATGCATATGTATATTTGTGTGCATGTACGTATACATATGTATCTATACAGACATAAAGTCAGACCATTACATGTAATATCTGCGAGTAAACGAGGTAAATGGTCATGCGAATGTGCATGTGGATGCGAATGTATAAACGGACGAGTATGTACACGCATATGCATATGCATATGATTATGGATATGTGCAGTTATATGTGTATGTGGATGTAGACGCTTGTGCAGCTATATCTGAATGTGTATATGCATATGTGAATGCCAGTGGAAATGTGCATGCATACGTATATGTGTATGTAAAGGTCTACGGTTGTGCAAATGTATATGCTAATGGATATGCATGTATAGGCATATGTGGCTGTATGTATGTTTATGGTTATGCACTTGTGTATATATGTGCAGATGAGTATGTACGCGTATTGTTTATGTAAAGGTAGATGTTTACTGAAATGTGATATTCATTTCGATGTGTATGTGTGCACGCACATATGAATACGTCTACACATAAGTATTCACATATGCAGATGTAGATGTATGTGTACATGTACATGTGCACATACATGCATGTGTGTAACTATGTGCATGTATGTATGTGTATACATATAGAAAGATATACAAACCGGGGGACGCGGGCGGGTGCCCAGAACAGCTGTGCGACTCCCTATAAGCGGCCGCGGATTCCAGCACGGGCCCAGAGTTCCCAGAGGCCCTCAAGATGGCCCCAGAGGCTCTCGAAGCCCTCCAACGATCGGTCCAAAATGCTTCAGATAGCCCCAAAACGTCCCGAAACGCCTTCTAAACGGTCGGAGGGAGTCCCCATAGCCTTGCCACGCTGGCCTCGGGCGGGAAAGATCAAGCACCCTGCTTCGTTTTCAAAGGTTTTCAGGGCGCTCGCCTTCTCGATCTTCCGATGCTCCCAACTGGCACGATAAGCCGCAAAGACTGCCCCAAGACAACCCAAGAGGCCCCCAATGCCGCCCCAAGACGGCCCACGATAGCCCCCAGACGGCCCACGAGGACTCCAAGACGACCCGACGACTACAAGGGGGGCCGAGAGGGGGAACGCGAATCGGAAGCCTGGGGTTCCGCCGCAAGACGCGCCGGGGAGGTTTCCAGGAAGCCCCCAAGGGACCCCAATGGCCTTTCCAACAGGGCGTCGGGCAACAAAATCAAGTATGCTGCTTGGTTTGTTCTTGATTTTCAGCGTTCTCGCTTTTGCGAGCTTCGCATGGTCTCCACCGGCGCGACACGCCCCAAAGGCTTCCCCCAAGCAGCCCAAGAGGCTCCCAAGACAGCCCCAAGACGGCCCGTAGCCATTTTGACTAAAGACTGAAGCAGCTGTGTTTGGCGCCGCTGTAGCACTCTTTGGTAGGTCGGTACTGCTGGCCTTTGCATGGATAGCAAATGGTAATCAGCACGGCGAGACGCGGAAGTGACCATCATCCGTGAGGAACGCGAGGAAGGCCTCCACAAGAGTTCGTTTCTCTTAGTTCTGGGCGGCTTTATGTCGCTGTACAATAAAACTCGGATATGCGTCCTGGCTTCCATCGTGCTATTTCTGATTCGAAAATTTTCAAAGGCACTGATGACGTTCGATACATACAGGGATGCTGTCATTAAGGTGTCAAGGCATGCTCAAATGTCGAGTGCCGTTCCCCAGATCTTAGATCACACGTCGTGGATGTCGTTCCACC